CTTTCCCATACTCAGTTCCAAAATCACTTTTCTGATTGTTCCTTTGATTACCTGTCTCGCTCCTTCTAGGACCGCACTCTCTCAATTCTTTTCTTACTTTTTAGTATTTTTACTCTTTTTTCCTAGATTCTTTTCCTTTCTTTGAAAAATTCTACCTCACTTTTATTGTTTGAAAATCTTCCCCGATCTGGTTTCTTCCTTTAGCTACTGTCTTGCGTCATTTTCAGTGACTATTAAACTTCTCAGAAATGATTCTTCTGATTTCTCCCATTTCTTTCTGAACTATCTCCTAACCAGTAGTATATATCATTTTGAAATGACATCCCCAAATTAACCATTGATATGATTGCCAGCCCTGTGTCGTTTTGGTGGTAACATTTAACTCTTGGATCTTTCTCCTCCTCACCGTCTCCTCTCATTTTTAATTCTTGTTTTTTGGTGTCTTTCGTTTGTTTGTTTTTAACCTGGAGAGTGCTTGCACTAACCAGACACAGAAAGAGAGAGAGATAAAGCATCCCAATCTCTAGTAGGATCATGCTGCAGTCCCATCTTCATTTCTCCAACCTGTCAGGAGTTTGGGCGTGCACTCATATATGCCCAGCACATTATTCAAGCGGCTGTGGAAAAGATTTGTACTATGGTTGGCCATGTGGATCCAGTTTCCTTAACCACTATGCTTTAGGGCTGGCCTGGGTTTTTTGGTGTAGTTTATTTCTTTTATGAGCGAGAGAGAGACATGTACCCTTGACAGGGTCTTGCCAGGCTACAGTTCCCAAATCAGCCAGGATCACAGGCATGTGTGAGAAAACCAGCATATCCAGGTCACTCTAAGATCTGAACCTGGGCCTTCTAAGTTTCTACTGCTGTGCAGCAATGCCCTACTGCGTGCACCACTATGTTAGGGATGCGCCTGAGTTTTGTAGCTGCGACCTGAGTTCTTTGACCTCTCTGACTTTCCTCTTTGCCCTCTTTAAGGGCTTATTTTCCCCCTCTTACTGCTGTTAACACTGTGAATGCTTCAGTATATCAGCCTAACTGCTCCCTTAAGCTTCACCTCTGCTTTTCCACAGGAACTTTCTGCTTTTGTCTCTGATAATAGACCTAAATCTCTCACTGAACGTGTGTTTTTTAGTAGTTTATTATAGTCTTTGCCTCATTCTCTTCTACCTTCTCAAACCAAATTTTTGATTCTTATTTTTGGTACTTTATCATTCTCTTCCTTTCAAACTATCTGTGTTGCCAGCTCACTGATTCAAGCTCTGACCACCTAAATTATTACAAAAATCCTTGATCAATCTATTCTGACATTAAGTTAGGGTTGATAGACTATCACTGCAGTTCAAGATGACTTCAGCCAATTCCTGGAGAGCAGAAACCAAAGTCTCTGTGTCCCCTATGAGCTTCAGTCTAATTTGCATAAATAAAATGTTTAGTACCATACTTAGTGAGTGAATGATACAGTATTTTGGAGAAAACACTTAGTGACATATTCACATAACATTTGCAGTATATAGTTGATACCGTATTCTAGATTTATCAACTCTGTTTAATTATCTTGAATCTAGCTCTCATTAATCCATTAAGTTATATTTTCAGGATAATTTTTCTCTGCCTATAAATACCCTATATTATAAAGTAAGCTGATGTCTCCTAGCAACAGGTCTTCTGTATTTTTGTGTTTTTCTACCATGTCCTCCACATTGATTTATCTGCTACTACTACTTTAGCCCGAGGTTGATGAGTCCTATCGAAACAGTAGACTGTCTGAGCGTTACGTACTCTCAGCTTGTTGAAATCAACTGTTTGTTGATTCCCAATGTATCATTAGATAATAGAATTAAGGATATGTTGTGGATTAGATGGAGTCAGTGGTGAATATTGCCAGACTAAGGCATGACTTAGCTGTCTTCATTTTCTGGTTTTGTTTTCTTCTCTTTTTTGAATTTAAGGGAAAGGGACGAAGAAAATCAAGAAATGTCTTCATCTAAATCAGCAAGAATAGAAATGTCTTGTTCTCTTTTAGAACAAACACAGCCTGCTACACCCTCATTGTGGAAAAATAAGGAGCAACATCTATCTCAGAATGAATCCATGGATGAAAAATCAGATAACTTATTTACAGATACAGATTTAAAATCCAGTATGAAAAATCTGGCCAATAAATCATTTTCTACAGAAAATCTAAGATCAAAAAAAAGAAAAGATATTGATGATTTGACCATAGAAGATGAGGTGTTGGAAGAGCTTTTTAAGAACACAAAACCAGAGTTAGAAATTGAAGTGAAAGTTCAAAAACAAGAAGAAGATACTAATATTAAGAAAAGACCAAGGATGAGTATAGAAACAAATGACATTTTCAGTGATGAAACACTACCAGGAAATAGTAAAATATCTGTAAGTAACATTTTTCATAAGAATTATTGTGATTAGAAACTCAAAATATTAAGTACTTGTGGTTTTGTATTAACATTTGTTATATCTACTTGAGAAAAAAAAAAGTAACATCTTCAACACCCAGTATTAAGTATAATTCTTAGTCCTAAGTAAAAGTTAATCATAGTGACTCTTCAACAACAGAAAATAAATGATTAACAAAAATGATTATATTGAGTTGTCAGAAAAATTATGATGCATTTTTGCTTGAAAAAACAGAAAAATAGGGACCAGCGGTTAGCGTAATGACTATGTCGCTGGATTCCCATGTGGTCGACCGCAGTTTGCGTCCCGGACCTGGTGGCTTGAGACTCACGCCAGGCGCATGTGTGTGCGTGCCCAAGATCCCGAGAGGAGAATGGAGGAGAAGGGATTGCGGCGTGGCCATCCCCCCTGGGGGGTGATTTCTCACTTTCTGTCTCTCTGAATCTCTCTGTCTGTCTGGCGAGCGCACTCGCCCTATGGCAAAAACCTCTTAAAAAAAAAAAAAAACATAGAAAAATACATCATGACTTTCCTGATGATCTAATACATAGCTGTTATTAATAGAGTTCCAGATTAAGTTGAACTGCCATAAAAGGCACTTGACCATGACGGTAAATAAAGGAGATACCTTAAGAGAATAAATAGACACAGAAAGGCGAAAGAAGTTAGTAAAACAAAGTATCTCCTAAATAAATTTTTAGGATAAACATGTATAAGACCACTAGAAATTTTCATTTTGCTCTTTAATATCCTGGCTTATTTTCATAAATGTTAGTTCATGAAATTTATCATACTCACTTTGGTCTGAGGAAACAGATTATTTCCTGTTTTGTCTGTCAGTATATTGCCCTGCTGTGTAGACTAGCTGGCTCATTAGATGAGAATACAGACTTATAAAATTAAAATTTAGCTTTCTGTTCTAAATGGGTGCATTAGCTCCATTCTTGTTCATGGTTGTGGTCATCTCCTATTGGGTCATTGAAAAGTTACGATGGGTTTTTGCGTGGAAAAACACATCATGACTTTTCAGACAACCTAATATAATATTAGATTGTCAGGAAGGTCATGACATATTTTTTTGTTTTTCTATGCAAAAATGAGTCATGACTGGGACCAGCCGATGGTATAGCGGTTATATCACTGGACTCCCACATAGTTGACTGCACTTCAAGTCCTGAAGCTGGTGACTTAAAACTCACACATGGTGGGTGTGCATGCGTGCCCAAAATCCTGAAGGGAGAAGGGATTACAGTGTGTCCATCCCACTCTGGAGAGTGATTTCTCGCCTTCTGTCTCTCTGTCTCTGGCAAGCGCACATGCCTTGTAACAAAAATATCTAAAAAAAATTTTTTTTAAATTGAGTCATGACTTTCCTGACAACCCAGTAGCTACAGGTTAAGGACAGGAATAAGTGAAAAGAGAAGGATTTGTGATTAGAAGTTGCAGTTGATTTGCTGAGCAGTTGAGAACCTACTATATATGAAGTACTGTGTAAATCTACTACCACTATGAAAAAACTAAAGTGTATGTCTTTTTCAGCCTATACAGTGGCATCTTCATATACATGAGGAAATAATCATTATTTGTTACTTTTTACAAGTGAATTCTAAATGCCCTCTGTGTAACAGCTACATCAAGAGTCACCTGGTGAGCTCTTTAAAAGTATGGATTGGGACCAGCAGTTAGCGTAATGACTGTCGCTGGACTCCCATGTAGTCGACCGCAGTTCGAGTCCCTGACCCGGTGGGTTAAACTCACGCCGGGCGCGTGTGCATGCGTGCCCAAGATCCTGAGAGGAGAATGGAGGAGAGGGGATTGCAGTGTGGCCACTCCCCTGGGGGGTGATTTCTCGCTTTCTGTCTCTCTGTCTGTCTGGCGAGCGTACGCGCCCTATAGCAAAAACCTCTCAAAAAAAAAAAAGTATGGATTGGACCATTGGGTGGTTAAGGCACTGGACTCCCACTCAGCTAGCTAACTACAGTTCCGAGTTCCGAGTCCTGGACCCACAAGCTTGAAACTCACAACAGGCATGTATGTGTGTGTGTGTGTGTGTGTGTGTGTGTGTGTGCGCGTGCGCGAGCCCAAAATCTCGAGAGAATGGAGGAGAAGGATTGCAGTGTGGCCATCCCCCCTACAGGGAGATTTCCTGCTTTCCATTTCTTTGTCTCTCTTTGTCTGTCCTGTGAGCGAGCACATGCTCCCTATAGCAAAAATCTCTCTTAAAAAAAAGTATGGATTTCCAGGCCAAAGCCCCAGACATCCTCATTCAGTACGTTTCTATTTTCTTCCTAGCCATAGGTTGGTCCCTCATTGTGTTAGTTAAGGATTCCTTTGATGTCTTAAAAATTCTGAAGTCAGTGGCTTAAACAAGGTAGATAGATATTTTTTTTTTTTTTTTTTTTTTTTCCTCTATGGCACATGGCGCTGACCAGACAGAGAGAGAGAGACACAGAGAGAGAGGAAAAGTGAGAACTCACACCCCCCACACACCTCCTAGGGAGATGGACACACTGCAGTCTCTTCTCCTCCAGTCTCCCCTCAAGATTTTGGGTATGCACACACACTTGCTCAGTATGATTTTCAAACCTCAATATCTAGGACTAAAACACACAGTGGGCCATGTAGGATCCAGTACCATAATTTCCATGCCATCTCCTGGCCTGGTAGATTTTTGTTTTATTGCCTATAAAAACAAAACAAAACAATAAAAACCCAGGGGACCAGCAGATGGCGTAATAGTTATGTTGCTAGACTCCCACTAGTCAACTGTGATTCGAGTCCCGGCCCAGCAGCTTAAAACTCATGCCAGGCACATATGCATGCGTGTGTGCCCAAAATCCCAAGAGGAGAATGGAGGAGAAGGTATTGCAGCATGGCCGTATCCCCTGGATGGTGATTTCTTGCTTTATGTCTTTCTGTCGCTCTGTGTCTCTGACAAGCTCACATGCCCTAATAGTAAAAATCTCTCTTAAAAAAAAAATAATAAAAGTCCAGAAATAGGTCATTAAAGCTGCTTTTCATCGTTTTAACTTCCTAGGTGACTATCTTTCTGCTCTATGGACCTGTCCCTCCAGTCATCAAGTCTACTTTCCAGGGAACTGCAAGGTGGGGAGGGGATAGGTTAAAGGCCTTTCTAGATGAATTCCTCATCACTTTTTGTGTTTCTTTTAAGGGTTATTTAATTTAATTTTATTTATTGGTTAATTTAAATTTGACCAGAGAGGGCCAGCACACATGTGCGTGTATGTGAGAGAGAAAGTGAGAAAACGAGAAAGCGAGCCATCAGGTCTAGGACTTGAACTGCCATCAGCCATGCAGAGTCCAGGGCCCTTAACCACCATGCCACCTGCTGGCCCCATGTAATTGAAATTTTTATAAAAATGACATGTCCCCTTTTGTGTATAAGGAGATTGTAGGTTTTATTGAAAATATTAGAAAGAAATTTATGTCATGCAGTTTTGTCTAGAGCATGATCAGGTTATGTGAATATGAAAGATACTATAATTTTATGCAGGCCAGCCTCCAGTTTTTTACTATAAACACATACCTTGAAATGATATGTTTTTTCTTGGCTTAAGCATGACCAGAGGTTTTATTTTAAGCTTAAATTTAAGTAGAATTACTTTTAAATGTTTTTCTTTTTGATTGTGAAGGGAATACATGATAATATGTAAATGTGGGAAATGAAAACAGACAGGAACCATAATTAATATTTTGTTTTTTTTTTTATCTTATTTTGCCGAATTAGAATTAATGTAGTTTTATAACCATTTTTTATTTATATTATGATCATTTTCTCATATTGTTACATATGAGCTTAAATTGCTTCCAGTTTTTTGCTCTTATAGTATCTCTGTCTTCACATATTTTTATTTTCATCTCCTAATTTCTTTAGGAAAAGATACTTGAAAGTCAAATGACTATGTCATATCATGAATATCTCTATGAGTTTTAAAAAGATAACTCCTATAAACAGTATTTTTTTATTTTATTTCATCAGCAAGAAAATGAAATTAGGAAGAAATGTGAGCTCAAGAAAGAACCAGTATGGTCGAACAAAGAAGAAGTATCCGTGAGAACATTTTAATTTAATTTTTTATAATCATTTTGCCATCAGTTTCATCAGTTTTGGTCATTTGACATTCTTAGGATTTACTCTTTTTCTTTCTGTAATTTTGGTTTATTTCATGATTGTGCCTATTGTGAAATGGGTAAGATCATATTATAGCCATGAAGGAAGCCTAGGTATAATTCCTTGCTTCCTCTATTCCTTACATATGTGACCTTCAACAAGTCATTTTTTTCACTTATGATCCTCAAATCTTTTTTATAAAAATGAGGTTAACACTTTTCACACAGGGTTATTTATATAAAATTAAGTACTGGATATTGAAATATTTGTAGTGGCTTCAAAGTATTAGGCCACTGTTGTCATGGAAACCTCAGTTACATTGTGTTGTTAGGGTATGAACCTTTTCTTCCTTATCCTGTATTTTCCCCAACTGCTTTTGTTGTGGACCTGTTAATAACTTTGACGTGAGTTATATAGTTCTACACTTAAAAAGAACTAAGATGGTTAGCCTTAAGCAGCTCTAACAATGTTGATTTTAACTAACTGTTAGGTCGTTGGGAAAGTCATGACATATTTTTCGTTTTTCTATGCAAGAATGTGTCATGACTTTCCTGATGACCTAATAGATAGTAATGACACAACAGTAAATGACACAAAGCAAAGAATATCATCCAACAATTGAATGATAGCAGGGAGAATCTTTAGGCTGATTTAATAACTCTTAGTTTATATTTTTTTAGGATTACTTTAACTTTCTTTATGTATTTTTTTTTTAAATGATCAGAGAATAACAGAATGAGAGAATGAGAGTAAGATAGAGAAAGCGAGAAACCAAGCCGCCAGGTCCGGGACTCAAACTGTGGTCAACCGTGTGGGAGTCCAGCGCCCTTAACCTGCCGGCCCTCTAGTTTGGAATTTTTAAAATGGCTTGTCATTTATTGTGTCCAGAATTAGTGACCGATTTTTTTTACGTGTTAAATATTTTTTTAAAATACAAACTATTGAGAATCCAAGAAAATTTAAATACAGTAGATGAGGATTTATAGATAAATATATAATTCCAGTGAAGAATCTTAATGAAAAGCAGCAGACAGTGCTGAGATTTCATGTTAAGAAGTTATATACTGAGGCCAGCAGGTGGATAGTGGTTACATCACTGAACTCCTACATGTCTGACCGTGGTTCGAGTCAGGGGCCCAGTGGCTTCCAAACATGCTGGGCATGTGTGCATGTATGCCCAAAATTCCAGGAAGAGCATGGAGGAGAAGGGATTTCAGCATGGCTGTCCTACCAGGGTGGTGATTTCTCACTTTCCCTCTCATGGTCTCTGTCTCTCTTGCTCTCCTGGTGAGCACACATGCCTTAAGACAAAAGCCTCTAGAAAAAGAAAGTTATATACATACAAAAGAAGCTAAATTGCTTATTGAAATGTTATTTGTTAGAATAAGCTAAGAAGTTAAAAATAATGTATGGTTTTTAGCCTTTTGTCACAGATGAGTACTTTATAAATATTTCCAAAATTATAGAGTACTTGATTAAGTAATTTTCTGTTTTTGAAATAGATATTTGGGGCTACCCTTGTAGTGGTTAAGAGAGCTAGATCCCACATGGCTGACTATGGCTCAAGTCCTGGCCCTAGAAAACATGTCAGGTGCATTTGCATGCCCCAGATCCCAACAGGAGGAGAAATAGAGAAAGGATTGCACTGTAATCATGCTTTAATGGGGCACTTACTTTCTCCCTCTCTCTCTTTGTCTCTGTTTCTCTGGTGAACACACATACCTGGTAGCAATCTAAAACAAAACAAAACAAAATGTAAGAAATTGATACTTGATCTCAAATACAAAGTTCAGCTATCAATAATGAACCTCTTTTGCTGGTTCTTTTCTTTTTTTTTTTTTTTTTTTGGTATTTGAACTTTTTTCTGTAAATCTTTAAGCAACAAGTAATTTTATTTTTCCTTCTCCTTTTTCTCACTTACTCTTCATATCTCCATTTAAGAACAATGACGACCTTCATGTTGATACTGAGATGCTTCCAAGAAAGGTATTAGTGACTGAATTTAGATCCTTGGTGGTTGATAACTCTACTACCAGAAAACTATCTTTTACAAACAATGATTATGGTCAACTGAAGAATTTCAAGAAATTCAAAAAGGTAGGTATTTTTTGAGCTGTATCACAAGAGGGCAGTGTTTGAAATGTTTTTAGAAATACCATCCATCCGTGTTTTAGTGGTACTTAACGCCTACGGTATTTGAAAGCAGTAATGAAAGCAGGGTATGTTGAAAACTGATGCTATTTCTTCTGCTTAAAATGATTTTTAAGGGACCAACAGTTAGCGTAATGGCTATGTCACTGGACTCCCATGTAGTTCACCTTGGTTTGAGTCCCAGACCCGGTGGCTTAAAACTCACTCTGGGTGCGTGTGTGTGTGTGTGTGTGTGTGTGCCCAAGATCCCGAGAGGAGAATGGAGGAGAAAGGATTGTGGTGTGGCCATCCCCCCAGGGGGTGATTTCTCACTTTCTGTCTCTCTGTCTCTGTCTGTCTGGCAAACACACACGCCCTATAGCAAAAACCTCTCCAAAAAAATGATTTTTAAGAGTACTTTTTTAAAAAGTACCCTAGAGAGGACATGATTTGACAGTTTATGAATATATTAAACACACCAAAACACCAATAATAAAACAGATTTCATCAAGATTGAATTTTTTTTCCATTTCTTGCTTTTTTTTTATTTATAATTATGTCTGGCATACTTAGGGAGGCCTCTGGATGCAAATCCAGAACCTTCCCATATGGGCTAACCTTACAGAGCATCACATCTTAAGGCTGCATCATTGTCCAGTTGCCTAGCTCCATTTTTCAATAACATATTGCTTAGAAAAAGATTTCACCTGTACTTCCGATACAGTATTGAACTTACCTTCATGTTAGGAAAAAGCAGTTAAGTTGCTCTTCATTGATGGTTATTCTCTTTGGGGAGCTAAGCAAATCTCTTTGGATTACTCAAAAATGTTTGCTATCCTGTAATCCTGTTTTTTTTTCTTTTTTAATATTATATTACCTAACACTCATTCCCTGAGCATCATCACAACATTCTAAATGTAGTTTCCCATCTAGGACAAACTACATAGTGACTTAATCAAGCATGTTATCATCAATAATATTCCATTTCTACTTTCATACCATGTATACATACATATATGTTTTTTATCCTATCTTTGACCCTCTGCCCTTTCCCCCTCTCCCATTACACTATCTCTGCTATATACAGTTGTCTTCCAGGGGAACCATTGAAAATGTGATACCTGTAAGTAAAGGGAGAAGGGCCACAAGTTTAAAGTTTTCAACAATAGGGATCATAGATTCCATTGAATGTTGGATCAAGGGTGGGTCTCATGCGGATCCGCCATTGTAGGAATGGTGCCGTGGGGCTCTACAGCGTGAGCTATCCTCGGGTATCTGGCTTCCTCAAGAATGGTAGAGTAGTTCCTGTTCTTCCCTGAGGCAATGTAGGGCTGGTAACCATCATCTTCTCACTGTCCATAGGCAGAGAAATTCTCCGGTATCTGGCTTCCTCAAGAATGGTAGAGTAGTTCCTGTTCTTCCCTGAGGCAATGCAGGGCTGGTAACCATCATCTTCTCAAGTTGCAAGTGGCGTAATGGCTATGTCACTGGACTCCCACATAGTCGACCGGGGTTCAAGTCCCGGACCTGGTGGCTTGAGACTCACGCTGGGCGCGTGTGTGTGCGTGCCCAAGATCCCGAGAGGAGAATGGAGGAGAAGGGATTGCGACGTGGTCAACCCCCTGGGGGGTGATTTCTCACTTTCTGTCTCTCTGTCTCTCTCTGTCTGCCCAGCGCACGTGCCCTATAGCAAAAACCTCTCCCCAAAAAAAGGAAATAAAAAATAATGAAGACTTAATTTAAAATGTCCTCTCCACTTCATATATTGAAATTCAGATTTCATTAATATTAAGAATTCATTGCTTATTTTCTAAATATAATATTAGCAATGTGTTTGATGGGCATTTTTACATAAAATTTTCTTCTTTTTATACCTCTTTGCCAGGACCTGCTTGGCAGAACACATTTTTCTGAGTGGGGGTGCTGTGGATTAGAAATAAACATAAAAATAAACACACAAGGACATACAAGTATAGAAAAGCTAAGAATAGGTGGGCCTGACTTATAAAAAGTGGCCACCTGGAACCAGCCTCAGGTTTTTTATCTTATAGGGCAGAAAAGGGGAGAAGAGGAAATGGAGTGCAAAGCCGGTTGTTGTCAGATATTAATCAGCAGGTGATGCCATGACTGGCCTTGTGATTTCTCTGATCTTTTGTGACTTTGTTTAGCCTGGTACTAAGTTGAGTATAGGTAACAGCACATAGCTGGCATATTCATGTGTTAATTGCCTTTATTGCTATGCAAATGAAGTTCACAGAACTGATTTTCTGCCCCTGTCTGAACATCACCATGTTACTTTAGAATGGTTCAGAATTTATTTTTTTTAAACTATTTTATTTAACTTTATTTATTCATTCACTTATTTATTTCAGTTTGACCAGAGAGGGGGAGAGAGAGAGAGAGCAAGAGCAAGCTGCCAGGTCTGGAACTTGAACCGCAGTCAGCCATGTGGGAGTCCAGCACCCTTAACCACCAAGCCACTTGCCAGCCCCGGTTCAGAATTTATAAGAACTATAAATTGTTGCCTTTTCAAAATCTGCTAGGGATATATAAACTAGAAAATTTTGAAAAGACTTAATCTTTTATCAGTACTAGACAAGGCTTCAACTTTTAGTTTTATTTATTTGTTTTATTTTACCACAGAGCATGTGCACTACCGGAGAGACACAGGGTGGGAGAGGGAAGGGAGAGAGCACCCCTTCCCCGTGGGAAATGGTCACACCATAATCCCTTCTTCTCTACTTTTCCAGCCTTTTGGGATTTGGGGTTCATGTACCAGCATGTTTTTCAAGCCAAGACTCAAACTGTGGGGTCAGCCAAGTGGGATCTGGCTATTGAGTTAGCCTATTTTGACATCGTTAGAACAAAATACAGTGTTTTATATAATATATATGTGTGTGTACCTTTAGTTGCTTTAATTATTAGATAATAAGGTAAAGCCATTTTCTAATAAAAACTCCAAATTAAAAACCTTAAATTCTTCTTTGAACATAAATACCCATACATGTCTAGATCTGGACATAGTAATAGCTAGAGAAGACATGAGGACAAAAACTAATGGATCTAGCAGAGCTAGGTCTCACTTTCATTTAATGTCGTTGACACCTACACCATGCATGATTTACAATCTCTGCTTTTTAAACTTTAAAAAAAAAAATAGTCATCTTAATTTGTTAATGTTTAATCTCACTTTTGTATTATTTAACAGGTTGCATATCCTGGAGCAGGAAAACTTCCACACATCATTGGAGGATCAGATCTAATAGCACATCAAACTCGGAAGAATACAGAACTAGAAGAATGGTTAAGGCAGGAAATGGAGGTGAGTTAGCAGTGAGACCCAGACACTTGTTTAAAATGCACTTTGGTCCCTTGTGGTTTCCTTAAAACAAATTCTTCTAAAAACCAAATGTAAGATAAGTGACCTAAGGTCGTTCACTTAAGAACGTTTCTGAATTACAGAGTGCTACTAACTTGTACTTTTCCATAGCATTCTATGAGGAAAAAAAAAGTTAAAAAGAAAGTGAGACCTAAGCAAATGAATTACCCTTCTGTTCTAATGTAAGGGGGGAGGGACAGTAAGCCACAAAATCTTTAAAGAAAATTGAAGAATAATAATGAAAAGGATACTTTTATAGTCATGTGGAGGATATTACAAATTTATCAGTTAAATAGTATATAAATGGACTGACCTCTCTAAATCTGAGAATTATATTTGAACAATTCTAAAAGGTTTTCATTAGTTTTTTTTTGTTTTTTGGTTTTTGTTTTTTTTTCTATTATTATCCCTTTTCTGTTTTCTCTGTTGTCTTCTTTTGGAATTCTGTTTCCCACTTTCATTTTCATGTGTCTTCTGTTTTTGAGGGGGTTTTAGAAAGTTTGGAGAACATGAACTTAAAGTTTGATGCAAAAGAATTTTAAAATTCATGCACATTTTTTTATAATATATTTTCCATGAACTTTTTAAAGACTCCTCATATTTCTTTTGTTTTGTTTTGTTTTTGTTTGTTTGTTTTTTAGTGGGGGAGAGGTTTTTGCAATAGGGCGTGTGCTCTCGCCAAAAAGACAGACAGAAAGCGAGAAATCACCCCCCGGGGGGATGGCCACGCCACAGTTCCTTCTTCATTCTCCTCTCAAGATCTCGGGCATGCACGCACACGTGCCAGGCCTAAGTTTAAGTCACCTGGTCCAGGACTCAAACCACAGTCAACTACATGGGAATCCAGCAACAGAGCTGGTCCTGACTCTTCATATTTTATCTGTTTATTTGGTTTATGGTTTTTGTAATTTTTCTCAAATTTTCTTCTAGTTTACTACTCTATTCTACTGTGGTTAGTATTGCATAGGTCCACTGAGTTTAAACTCAACCTGTTTTACTTTTTTAATACTGGAAGTCTGTTTCATTTTGTACTTAATCTTGTGACGATATTTTTAAGCTCCTCATTTATGTTTTTTGCCTAAAGATACTGAAACCTAAGATATTTGTTGATCTGTTTCCTGCTTTTTTTTTTTTCTTTTTTTTGAGAGGTTTTCGCTATAGGGAGCATGTGCTCACCAGACAGAGAGAGACATAGAGACAGAAAGCGAGAAATCACCCCCCAGGGTGATGGTCCTGCCGCAATCCCTTCTCCTCCATTCTCCTCTTGGGATCTTGGGCATGCACGCACACGTGCCAGCGTGAGTTTTAAGCCACCGGGTCCAGGACGCGAACCGTGCTCGCCTACGTGGGAGTCTAGCGACATAGCCATTACGCTAACTGCTGGTTCCCTCCATTTCCTGCTTTTATGGTGCCTTGTTGCCAAGAATATACTTTGTGATTTTTGAATGAGAGCTAATCATTTTCCTTGGAATATGGTATGTGGAATTTTCTTGGGTTCTAAGTTCATTTCCTCCAGAAAATATATGTTTATATTTGCCAATCTTGTCCTAGTAATAGGAGATTTAAGCCTCTTGTGTTTGTTTTTTGTTTTGTTTTGTTTTGTTTTGTTTTTGGATTACACATACATATTAGTATGTGTTTGGACCAGGAGCCTGAGTAAAGCCCATCTTGTCATTACAAATCTCAAGTGAAATTTTTATTTCTTTTTTTCAACCAAATGCCAGGGCCATGACAGTCAAGTTTCTTCTCTGTTTCCTGCATTTCAAGAGTTATTTCTCTTTCATCTTTTTTGCTGTATCTTATATTACTGTCTCCATCTTGGGTTTTCTTTCATGTCATTCATATTCTATACAAACTGGAGACCATAGAGCTTAGGTGTTTCATGGTGTGCAGATACCTGCAGGGCAGGGCAAAAGCTGGCTGTGCTACTTGCTAACCTGTCAGGGTTTCTTATTTTGCTTTATTACGGTATAGTGTAATGTATGTGTATCCTTCAGCAATTCATTTAGAATGCTATTTTATTCTGCGTTATTTTTAAATTGTTTTTTCCTAAAGGGCATGTGCACTTTCCAGAGAGAGACAGAGAAAGAGAGAGAGGGAAAGTGAGAAAGCACCTTTTGGGGAATGGCCAAGCCACAATCCCTTCATTCTCCTCTTGGGATGTTGTGCATACATGTACATGTGCCCAGTATGATTTTCAAGCCACTGGGTCCAGGCTCAAACCACACAGTCAGCCATGTGGGATCCAGTCATCTTAATCACTGTGGCACCAGCTAACCTCAGGGTTATTTTTCAGGAAGGGTTATTTGGAAGGTCACTCAAAAAAATAGCATTGTTGGGCCCAGCAGGTGGCACAGTGATTAAGACGCTGAACTCCCATATGATCGACTGGGTTTCGAGTCCCAGACTCATCAGCTTGAAACTCATGCTGGGCATGTGTGTGTGTCCAAACTCTAAGAGGAGAATGGAGAAGGGCCATTCTCCCTGGAGTGTGACTTCTTGCTTTCTGTCTTTCTGTCTCTCCATCATGTGTTCATGCCCTATAGCAAAAGTCTCTCAAATAAAATAGCATTGTTGGGACCAGCAGTTGGCATAATGGCTATGTTGCTGGACTCCTATGTAGTCGACCAAGGTTCAAGTCCCAGACCCAGTAGCTTAAAACTCACACCAGGTACGTGTGTGTGCATGCCCAAGATCCAGAAAGGAGAATGGAGGAGAAGGGATGATGGCATGGCCATCCTCCCTAAGGGGTGATTTCTCGCTTTCTGTTTTTCTCTCTCTCCCTGTCTTTCTAGCGAGCACACGCACTCGATAGCAAAAACCTCTCCCAAAAAAAGCATTGTTAGGAATGTCACTCAAGATATTTACTGATAAAAAATGAAAAGATGGAAGTCGCATTCTTCCTCTTCTTTTCTTTCTTTTTTTTTAATTGACAGAATGTGCTCTCCAGAGAGAGCAAAAAAGCACTGACAGTGGGACATCACTGTGCTACAATCTTGTTGCAATATTGTAGAGACTTTGGGCACTCACGCACGTTTGACCATCATGTTTTTCAAGCCACCCAGGGCTGGCACTTGAACCATGGTTGGCCATATGGGGTCCAGCTCCTTTAACTACTAGGCTATGGAACCAGGACCCTCATTTTCTTTTTTGAAAGAATAATTGGCTTTTTAATAAAAGTACATTACAAAATACCATGTCAGTACACAAAAGAATGGAGAAATTAGAGCCTAAAGCCCTCAATTACTCATTTAAACATTAAGTAATATTATTTCATACATCTCTTTATTGAGATACAAAAGGCAGGGCACACTGGGAAGGCAAAGGAGAGGGAGAGATTGATAGAACAAAGTTTAAAATGAAAGCTTTGTTAAGTTTGGGTAAATGTTTCTTCCCTCCAAGATACTTTATTTCCTAAGACCCTTCTTAGACTAAGAGAAAAAAATATGGAACAACAACAAAAAAAAAAAAATGGAATTTTAAATCAGTGTTTTTTTAAAACTGCATATTTCCAGCTTAGATCCTATTCATTGACTCCTTGCTGTGAAGCCATTGTTTGTATTTCCTCTCACTTCTCCCCCCAACCTTATGACAGTCTTATTTTTCCTCTTTTTGGGTGACTTGCATGTCTAAGCTTGAAAGTCAAGAATAATCAGATTGCATCTCAGTACTGACCATACTTCATTGGTTTTACTTAGAATATGGTATGCTATTTTGATTTGCAGGTGCGCTTCTCTTTCATTTCAAGGAACTTTTATCTATGATGAGAGATCTTCAAATAGTTCATGGAAAATCTTTTATGAAAAAACTGCACTTTGAAATTCTGTGCACCAAAATAAACTCATATTTAAATCCCAGTTTTTTCGATGAACTTTTTTTTTTTTCTTCTTAGAGAGATTTTTGCAATAGGGCTTGTGTACTCGCTGGAAAGACAGAGAGAAAGACAGACAGAAAGCAAGAAATTGCCCCCCAGGGGGAGTAGCCACAGTCCCCTCTCCTCCATTCTTCTCTTGGGACTCTGGGCACACATGCACACGCGCCCGGTCTGAGTTCCAAGTTGCCGGGTCTGGGACTCGAACTGTGGTGGAACACGTGGGATGAACTTTCTGAAGTCTTCTTAAGGTATATCTTTAAAACAATAATTTTTATAGGGACCAACAGATGGCGTATTGGTTACATCTCTGGACTCACATGTACTCAGCCATGGTTCAAGTCCCAGACCTGGTGGCTTAAACTAACACTGGGTACATGTGCGTGTGTGCCCAAAATCTGAAGAGGAGAGTGGAGGAAAAGGGATTGCAGCATGGCCATCCCCCCCACACCAGGGTGTGTGTGTGTGTGTGATTTCTTGCAAAAAATAATAATAGTAATACTGGGGCCAGCAGATGGCATGGTGGTTGGGGGTGCTGGACTCCCACATGGCCAACCATGGTTCGAGTCCCAGACCTGGCAGATTGCTTTCTCAATTTCTCTCTCTCTCTCTCTCTCTCTCTCTCTCTCTGTCCTTCTCTGGTCAAATTAAAGTAAACAACAATACATAAATAAAATTGAATCATAATAATTTCTTTATTTTCTGTTCTTTCTCCATTTAAGACCTAACTGTCCTTTTACTGGATAACTTTTGCACTCTGCATTTTGATTGTGTCAAGAATCCATATTTCAAGTGTGTCACTTCCATTTCCCACCAGCTGTGTCACCTTGGGCAAATTACTTAACTTTATGCCTCTGTTTCATACTGCTCAGAATGAGAACCAGTAATAGTACGTCTGTTTCACAGACTTATGAGGATGAAATAAGATGCTACTTATAAAGCATTTATCATAGTGGAAACAGTTCTAGCTATTTCTAATTTAATTCATTCTGAAGGGTTGTAATTGTGGTTCTCTGTTTATTTAACATCATTCCTTTTATTTTTTTTTAATGAGTTTTTGCAACAGTGTGTG